TTTTTATTATTGTTAGATTTATTGTGAATAACTTGTCCAGGAATAAAGTCTCTAAACTTAGATTTTAGAAGGTCGAAAAGTTGTAAAACAAGTGGGATATTAAGTTTATTATATTGTTGCATAGTTGAAATAACAAGATAGTTTTTAAACCAGTTGAAGTTTTTAGAGGTATCATGTTTTTGAGTATTTGCTTTTTGTTTGAGTTGTTTGTTGTTATCTGTATTTTGTTTGTTGTTGTTTGAGATTTCTTTGGTATTAGAATTATTGTTTGGTTGATTGTTAGTATTTTTGGTCTTTTTAGGAAGTTTATCCAAGAATTTTTTAAAAAAATATATTTGTCTTCTACAGATAGTTGTAAATATTTGATTTTGCAATAGAAACTATGTTGCGTTTAGTTCATAAAGCTTGTAAATTTGGCTAACTTTAGCCTAAGTCTGTGAATGCATTAAGAGTAGGCAGGGAAGTCACCAACTTCAGTTTTGAATACAAGAGCTTTTGGATCTAATGAAAGTTTGTTGTCAGTTAGCATAATGCAAGATATATCTTTAGTTTTGCAAATAATGCATGTATGTGCATAATAAGAATAGACTATAAAAAGATTTGGTTATTAGTATCTTGTCTAATGTTGCTATAGCAGTTAGGAAATGAATTAGCAATATTGTGTTTAGACTAAGAAGATTACTTTGGTACATTATAGAGGAATTTGTAGAGTTTGGTATCTAGATCAATTTTCATTAAGTTAGATAATTCAATTGAAGATATAGAGATGGTGTCAGAGATAGGTGGCAGAGATAAATGCTGAGAAGTGAAGTATGTATAGTATTTTCCACAGAGGCATCTTATGATAATAGGTTGACTAGGATTGGAAAAGAAGTGATAGTCATTATTGATATCACATTGTATAAAATTGAAGTTAGCTAGAAGGACTTTGAAACTTTTACAGTTTTTGTCCAAGGTAGCTAAAGTTCAACTACTATATTTGTTCTAAAGAATATCTAGGTTAAAGGAGTCTGGTTCAATAATGATGATGCTAGGCATTTTGTATGACTATCTTAGTATAATGTTTGTGCTAGTAAAAAACAATTTTCAAATCAAATTAAATAATCTGATTTTTGGATAAAATTTTCTAATTTAAGAGTTTTATAGATAAGTTAGAAAGAATCTGAGAAATGTAAGGCTATTAGAAAGGCTAATTAAATATTTCGAAAATTTTAATAGGTACCAGAAAAGTGAATTTTCTGAGGCAACCCAGTGAATTTTCCTAAATTTACTAATAAAATAACCTGCAAAGACAGATTTTAGTTTTGTCTTTTTGTCAATATTTTAGTGAGTTTTGGTTTGTTTGCTATGAATTATATATCAATATGACTAAGATGGAGTGCTTGTTATTTTTCTAATATGTAACAAGGTATAATTAATTAGTAAATATTTAGCAAATAAGCAAAAACTAAAATTTTGGTTTTTGAAACTTTTCTCAATGACCAAATATTGAGGTGCATGAAATTTGGCCACCTAGGAGAAGAAATATGGACTGAGCAACTTTACTTAGAGGTGTAAGTAAGGTTTATTTAATAAAATATTGAGAAATAATTAAAAATGTTTAGTAAAAATTTGGTACAAGTAATTTACAGAGAGTGTTACAGAATTGGTCTCTTATATATATATATTATATTTCATATTTTAAAATATACTTATTAATTTTACCAAATTATATAATATCTATGTTATTTTTTACAAATCACTGCTCATCAAGATAATTGATACAATAATTTTATAGATTAATATACATGCAATTATTTTATTTGTTATATTTTACCTTTATAACTTATAATATTTATAATTTTATATATATTTTAAACTTAGAAAACTTTTTTTAGAAGTATCTATTTATTATAATAACCACACAGTATATTATGCATATATTTATACATTATAGATTACATCAAATTGCTTTCAAAAATGACATTAAATCTTTAATTAAGTTTATTGGCAAGCTGTCTAGCTATATATTAACAATAATTAAAAAATTCTAAAATTTTTACAAAGCTTTTAGTTTTCTATTCTTAAATCCTTCAGAATTAAAATCTATTAAATAATCTTTCTATTTCACATATTCTATACAAATAATACCATTCATATTTATCTATTTGTCACAAATATTACCAAATTAGGTTATATTTTTACTGAACAATCTGTTTATTTAATCAATTACTATACAACCTTATAGATATTTTATTACAACATATTTTTAATACTAAAATGCTTGATACTACATCAAACACTATAGTTAATTTACATAATCAAATTAAACTGTTAAGTAGTATAACTATTATGTGTCATTTATTGATCTCTGTTGATTCAGAATTGATGCCTGTTATTTTTGAATTTTTACTAATAAATAAATGACTTATGTTAATTTTTGATATTTATAATGCAGGTTTTAATTAATTAAGATAAAAATGTAAATTATATATCATACTTGTAATAACATAAATAAAAATAAAAATTTGCTTTTTAATTTTATTACTTTTTTTCTTTAATGAAAATAGAAAGGCAAACCTTTTTTTCTTACTTACTTATAATTCCTTTGAATGAATACTAAAAATGTATATTAGTCAAAGAAAAAATAACTGATGTTTAATGGATACAAATTGTACAATGAATATTTAGAGTTATTAAAAACCCCTAATGCTTCATATAACCAAAACTTAAGTATTTAATAAAACCTGTGATTGTTGCCATTATAAAAAAACTAACTGTAACACTAAATCCTACTCTTACAGAAGAAACAACATATTATATTCAAGATAATGTGATTGTATCTTGTGCAGTCAATGCAAAAATTGCTAGATAATTATTTTTTCTTTCAACAAATAGAATTGCACTCAGCTTTTTTTTATTTTATTTTATTTTTAAAAAAACAAATATAATTGCAATTAGTTTGGTTTTTTTTTTTAGCTCTTAGATTGGAGATATTGCATTTTTACAGTAGCATTTAGAACTTATCATGAATATATAACTATGCATTTTTATTTATTTTATTATAACAAAATTTTTAATGAGTACTGCGTAAATATTCATTAATCGGTAAAATTCATACCAATTCCAAAGTGACATATGTTATTTTTGAATTCATAAATGACACATATCGATTCCAAATTGACAGGGATCAATAAATGACACATAACATATATAGTACAGCATTCTAAATCTTTTTTTTTAAATCGATTTCAATGAATACCAAAGTCTAAACAAATGTTACAAAATTCTTTTTCGGACCTTCAAATGACAACAGACATTAGTGTAATTTACGTTCTTCCAATCAAAATCAGTAGCATTCTTCAATATTATAGCCGATATCAAAAAGATGCTTTTTTTAGACCTTCAAATGATGGCTGGCATTAATGCAATCTAGTTCTTCCAGATCACACCCGATAATCAAAAAGATGCTTTTTTTTCAGACCTCCAAGTGATGATAATCATCAGCGTAACTTACATTCTTTCGACGATGCCTTTTTCAGACCTTCAAACGATCGAAAATATCAGTTCCCTTCCAGCCATAATCGATAGTGTTCTTCCAGACTATTTTATATATAATATATTATGAGTACAGTATCCTAATTTTATATACTCAAATGCGATTTTTACGGTATACTCAACTACTTTACTAAACCATACACCACTACTATTTGGAATACTGATTATGAAGCCATGTAACATTTTAAACCAGTTATAAATCATTACACATATCCCTTAATTCAATGATCACCTGATGATCCAAAAAACCAAATTTCTATCGTCTTTGACAATCAGCGATTATCATTCCATCAACCCAATAAAAAGTCCTACGAAAAAAAAATAAAAAAAATGTCAAATATCAGGTAAATACGCACTGGGTTACCAATTTTTGCGTCTGAAATTTCTTTTTTACTATCGTTAGTTGTCACAACTACGACATCGTTTACGTTTGCATTTTTTGTATTCAAGTTATACTCTGTAATTACGTATCCGAATGCACGTTAACCTATATGAAAAATAACCAAAATTTGATGAATAAGTCATGCGGACCAATCAAACTTAAGATTTTGTGCACAGGAACCACTTATTGCACCTTATACTTCGTGATTTCATCACTCCGTTCCTGGTATAATGCCATACATATACTTATTGATTTATCCTCGTATAATACAAATTTTTCGTTTACAATGCAAACTTATCATTTACAATATTGTAACTATCATTATTAAATGGCTTATGTTTGAGCATTTTATCCCTTTTTTGGTTAACAAATACCGTGATGAATCCAACTTTTCTAACCTAACCATAACTTTCGGAACCGGTTTATAATTTTCGGCGAACTGATAAGACCGGTTTCAATGGACTAAAAGTTCCCTTATGTACAATGATTTTCTCACGTACCATTTTGAGTGTCACCGCATAATGATTAATTATCTGGAACGATTTGTCATCAAATGTTGGGGTTTGTCTAAAAGTTGAGATTAATATGTGTTCATAAATGAGTTTCCATATTAGTTATTAGATTATCGTCCGCTGTACTGAGATATTGTCTCATGCAAAAACTGGATCTGTCTCTAGAATATTTACATCAACAGCAAGTTTATCACATTATAAAAATATTTCCACTTTGCATTTTTCCAGGTGAGTTACGTGCTGCAGACTTTTTGAGTACATACATGAGAATCAATTCCGAGAATTAATTGGTCAAATACAGAGCCACTTCCAAATCAAAGTTTACTAAGGTGTAAATAAGACGGATCAAGCGAATTTTCTCATATGCTTTCTGCAGATAAAATTCAGAAAGCTTTCTTTGTCATCAAAATTTCGGGGATTATGCAGGGTGTATCAGTAAATCATGGAAAAGCACATATTTCATAAAGGAAAAAGAATATTTAAAGGGCCCGCTTCGAATATTTGAGATCTTTACCCGGTTTGAATAATCAGAATCTTTTTATTAAAAAATAAACCGAAATACCAACAAAATGAGTCTAGAGGCTAGTGGACATACATTCCTCATTCAAACACTTAGGTCTCCTTATTATTTTTGGACGGCAACGGGTAATAGTTCAGGATCTAAAATCGAAATTCAGGAGCATAGTTTTGGTAGTCTTCAGTCTTGGACTTTAAAAAAAATCAGCGATAGTAAATTCGCCATTGTTTGCCTAACTCATGGAGCTGATTTTCTTGCCGTTACCTGCAATGATGAGGGTAAAGATTACACCTTGACAACATATGACAAAGCATCAAATTCTCAACAATTCTCTATCGACTTTACCGATTCAGGTGCAATCTTTACAGATAAAAATGGTAAATCAGCGTCTACATCTAATTCTGACTTCAAATCTGATGATACAATCGGTTCATATGATAAAGATACCAAAGTATGGGGGACAAAACACGTTTATGGTTAAAATATTCAGTATACGTATAGTGTGTAATATTAATTAATCATAACATTAATTTGTCCTGTTCAATTTCTGTCTGGATTTGAACAAAAATTACTTATTTATTGCAGTTTAGAGCTTTAGTCTTAGTACTAGTTATTACATTGTATTAAATATTTATTCTTGAAATGATAAAAGGTACATCTTATATGTTGTGTTTATTTTAAAGAGATTTTTCCATTTATTATCTGTTATTTCCAGTTTTTGTGTGATCAGATGATTTGTCAGCGAATATTGCATTACTCGCGAGGAACTACGTGTGATTTTATATTATAGAATAATAGCCAATAAACCACCACCTCAGTTGCATTGACGCTTGTCATGCGCAGGAACTTTTTACTGTATATGTTGTAGGTGGAAACGAAATTTAAGTGGATTCGGAATTTTTATATAAAACCCGCATTTTAGGGGGTGATTTTGTATATATACACCCTAACTCTAACCTTACCCCAAATTTAAATAAGAAATTACAAATCCCATTCCAATATCAGAATTCAATTTAAATAGTAATCGTGAAAGCATAGATTACTAATCTCTTACATTTATATGACATGATCTGATAATTAATATACAGTATATATTTTTTACTAGATAAATATTATACATTATATATTCTTATATAGTCTTATACTAAAAAATTAAATTGTGTTTGTATAATGTTTGTAATATTTGTGAAATAGATTACACATGCTTGATATGGATTTATATGTTTAAAATAGATTTTTATTTATATAACATTTATAAAAATGTATTATATATATTTTAATTATTATAAAAAAATTTTTTTTTTTTAAATATTAAGGTAAGTACTTGTAACCCAGTATTTTATTGATAATATATTTGGCTAATGGTTGTATTACAACCTCATGAGGCAATTATGTAAAGAGTGTACAACTAGTCACTCATACAACTTTAGTTATTGTCTAATTTAAATAGTCTGCCCAAAGGTTCTATACTAGCTGTCATATCTGAAACCTGCTTGTAGATTTCCTATTTGATTATTCTAGTTTTTATATCCATCCAACTACCTCTGCCTACCAATAATCCTAGCTAATACTGATAAAAATATGTTATGATCATTAAGTCTTTAAAGCAGTTCTTTGGAACCTTTGACCTTGTACTAAACCTTTTAGAATCTTCTGTATTCTATTCCTACAGCTGACTCAGTATTGCTATGATTAAGACCAATACTGGTAATCAGAACATACCATTAAACTGCTATACTCTTGTAGAGTTTATCCCAATCTCAGTATTTATTTCACAACATATTCTTATTACTTTGGTATTCAATTCAAGTTTTATCAAGTTGTCATTCTAGATAGTCTGAAAGATAGATTATAACTATACACCTCTAGTCTACATGTTTGCTAACATGTATCCTTTTTCTTTGAAATCCAAAAATTCTGACAATTTGGTTGGTTCATCCAGTCCTTCCTCAAAGACCAACACATTTGCTTAGTTTCACAAGTTCTGGCTTTATTTTATAAGTCTAGTCTTTATAATAGTACTATTAAAAGTTCAAATTACTTCTTTATTCAGGCCTTCCAAGTAAGCTTCCATCTTTCTACCTAGTTCTTGTGATTTACATAACCTAAAGACTTATCTTGGGTTCATACCACCTGGTACCAGTTTGTGTTCCTTTGTATAATATTATATAAGTGTCTAGACCTTCTAATCATATTGGCATGATACAAGTTACAAGTATCTTATCTTAACTAATTATAGAAGACAATTAACTGTAACAAAAAAAAATCACACATTTTTACTGTTACTAGGATTTGAACTCTAGACCTATCACTTAAAGATTAATAACCTATCTACTTTACTAGGTTATTATACTCTTTATTATTATAAAAAATTAATTACTACTAGATAATATATATATTAGTAATTTTATATATAAATATTATTATAAATAGATTTTTTAAAATTAATTTTATATTTCAATTCTTATTACAACTTAATATATATATTTTATTTTTTTTTTATTTTTATTTTTTTTTTTATATTTAAACTAGTCTTTTGGGGACTAGGGCTTTTTTATTCAGTATTATAGGACATGATAACTCATGGTCTGATTATCTCAGAGGAGCTACCTTACATTAAAAAGTACATCTAGTTACATATACACTTTTGGTATTTAATTTAAGTAGTCTACCTATATATAGGTTCTACACTAGCTGCCATACCTGCAACCCAACTACAGGTGTTGCCTATTTAAACTCTCTGTACTGCAATCTTTACTGTTATCACTAGAACATCTCCATTACATGATATCAGTCAAGAAGTTCTAGATGCTTACTTATACCCTTAGGACCCCTGCCTTATTTCATGCAGATTATTCTCAAGACATTATTACCAGAGCCTTCTGTATCCCAAGTTATAGCTAAACCTAGTTTACAACTCTTGCAAAGTTCATACAACCTCAGTACCTTTCTTTTACAACCTTACTGTTACCTCGTTTACCCTTGCAAGTCCTTCTATACTACTAATTCAGTTAGCTCTGCATGATACAACTTCATGCTCAGATCAACTAGTGGTTAGGTTGGTGGACCCCCTACCTAGAGGTTCATAACCATACAGGTCACCTGTCTCAGGTTTTCTTTAGTGGATTAAGATCTTTACAGATGGCACCATTGAAAGTTATACTACCTCTCTGCTCAGGATTTCCAAGCAGCTTCTAATCTGAGTACATACTTTCCAGATTTATTCATATGACATTGCATACTTCCAAAGTTAGTCTTGATATAACCAGAATTACAGGATCTACAAACCTCAAATCACAAATAAGTTTGCCAGAATAGGTCTATTTTTTCAAAATCTGTCACTGATAGGAATTAAACATTGGACCTACTGCTTGGAGGATGACAACCCAACTACTACACTAGGATTACCATCCTCATATATTTTATTCTATTATTTGTAAAAATTAACAAATATATATAACTTATTTAATAATCTAAATTATACAAAAAATAAATTAAATATATATATTTATATATATAGTTAATAAAATCTAAGTAAGAGGTGTAGTGACCTAGTAAAGTGGTCAGGTTGTTAACTCCTAAGTTGCTGATCTAGAGTTCAAATTCCATGGATAACAAATTTTAGAAAATAGATCTGTGTTATAGTAACTGGTTCTGTCAATTAGTTGGATTAGTATTCTATAACCTTTAGTTGTACCATTTTAAATAAGAGCTTAAAGCATCTATGCTAAGTATAATGTTATACCCACCTAGAGGAATATTAATAACCAGTATTACATAAAACTTTAGTGCAAATTTATGATAAAACTACTGGATGCAAAAGCAAAGAAACTGAAGAGTCAGAAACTCATTTGGAAATTCTGACTAAGAAGATAATACAAAACTTTTAACAGTACTGTCAGACTGATGGAAGCCCATAAAACATCACAAAAGAATAGGTGGATAAACCAGATGTTAAGAAGTATAGAAGAGCATATGACCAATCAGGCTGCTAGAATTTTTTTTTTTTTTTTGATATTAAGGTAAGGCCTTGCTCATATCTTTATTAGTAGTTTTAAAGTTAGTAACTACATGGAGTTACTATGTATACAAAGTTATTCTA